ACCCAAAAGAGTTATATTTTTCTACCGTACTCTCTCTGTGGTTTGTGTCTGTTTGACCAGACATGGAGTTTAAGAAAGAAATATGAACATTTATGTGGCTATAGAATCATGTCATTAAGGGTCACTGGAGTCTGGAAGTTTAAAGTTGAACTTGTTTCCAAATATCTAAAGATGTCATTCTTTTTGGGACAAACTAAAAAGGGAAGTTTGTCAAATAAAATAGGACAGAGGGAGTATATTTTCATCAAAACCTAAATCCTCTGATTTTTTTTCTTTCCATCGTCTGGTTGCAGATCCTTACTTTATGGATATGTTTCTTTCTATTTCCTTATGCGTATGCTGGTTTTTGACTATACAGGATGCACGTCATCCCAAATTGTCAACTGCTGCAGTTATCGTGAAGAGACTGCATGATCTTGCAGGCATGTTTGATGTTTGTTGCTATGTTAGAGAACTTGACTAAAATCTGCATGTTAAAGTTCTAAGGACATAAGATTTGTCTTAATGCTGCAGTTCAGAAGAAGGGTTATGTAGATCTGCATGAAATGGTAAAGGAAGATGCATCATTTTGCCACTACGGATCCACTCTACCAAAAGATTCAACTTGTAATTTGCCTTGCAGTTGGACTGAAACAGATCCTTCTACTTTTCTTATTCGTGGAGAGACCTACCTAGATGATCGTAAGAAGGTGAACTCTCGTCGTTGGTTCAGCTTTCATGCTTCGCTTATTATAAACATGTTCGAATTCAATTTTTGAGGTGTCACATAATTGATTGATCTTGGAATTTTGGAATGGTTCCCTTTTTCTATTGACATCTACTGTTTGGTTTTCCTGCTGATTAAAGATTAAGATCTGAGTTTTACTTTCTAATCATCACATGGTAACTTCATGCAGAACAATTCTATACCACAAGTCACAGCCAAAAGTTAGTCAATCTGCATTAAAGGAAACATCATTACTTGTAATCATTTTCTTGCTCTTGAATCACGTGCAAATTGGATTAACGGTAGAGAAACTCTAGGTAGAGATCTTGAAAATCCTGTATGTTTCTTGGCTAGGTGTCTGTCTGCTATTCTGGATAGCATGTGGGATTACTGATGTTCTCGTCTTATTAATCAAAAGATTTTTAAGTATGCTTCTGTACTTCAGAATCTTTGATACTTTCTTGTGTTATTATGCCATTTAATCATTATGTCTCTCTCATGCAGATCAAGGCTAAAGGCACCTTGATGCAAATGGTGGGCGCGGATTGGTTGAAGTCTGACAAACGAGAAGATGATCTTGGTGGTCGACCTGGGGGAATTGTTCAGGTTTCTTTTGTTATTCAATGAAAATACAGTGCTCATATTGTTTAATGCCTATGAGCCTGCTGCTCACTATCTTTTCTCTGCAGAAATATGCAGCAAAGGGGGGTCCAGAATTCTTCTTCATTGTGAACATTCAGGTATGCAATCTCTGTTTCCTTAATATACTTTGATTTCCTGTAAAGCTGCCACCAAAATGCTTCATTTTGATGGTTTGTCACTTGTATTCAGGTCCCAGGTTTAACAACATATACTCTCGCTCTCTACTATATGATGGATACCCCTTTAGAGGATTCACCTTTGCTGGAGAGTTTTGTCAAAGGAGATGATGCTTATAGAAACTCAAGGTTCAAGCTCATACCATACATATCCAAGGTTCGGTTTTGCTAATTGGAAGTGGACAAAATTACTTGCCATATAAGGTTTAGCATATTTTTTCTGTGAGTTGATTAGTCCATTTAGCAAAATGTTATGACACATCAATATTCATGTAGCATGTGCACTGGTCCATATTATTGCACTTCTCTTCTGTTCCTTCTCATATTTTAGCAAAAGCTTAAGTCTTTTTTTGGGTTTCTTAGCAGACAGGTTTTCAGAAAGACGTTAAAAAATAAACCAACATTATGTTACCCACTAAGTCTTTGTTTTAAGAAAATGATAGGCAACTTTGAAAGAAACAGAAACCCGTTTAAATGGGTTCTTATTTATCGAGGGAACTCTTTAAGCAAGCAAATTTAAAAGCCCCTCTACTCCTCTAAAAAGCTACACTTTCAGTTTCTCAAGGGGCTCAAATTGAGCAAATTTACGACTAGATCCCCAATTGATTAATTTGTTTTCTGCGAATGTAACTATACCTAGAAACAACAGTAAAGAATATTAACAATGGTAAATCTTTTAATTTCAAGGGTATATCTATATAACAAAGGATTATGGTCAAAGAAATCCTTTTCGAGCCTAGAGAAATGCAGAAAGGTTGTCTAGATAGACACAAGGATGCTGCATGCTTAGGTTATTATTCAGAAACCCATGTATCTTTGGGTCTTGCTTTCCATACCACATGCAGAAGATTGTAACGTGTTATGGTAGTTATTCACATTTTGGTTGTACGGTGTTCTTTTGTTAGCATTTCTGTTGGTACTTTGAACATGTCATCCATTTCTGTCTCAGCTGTTGGGATACTTTGAAATATTAGATCATTTAAAGTGTAGTGGTTGTATTTACTTGAGATTCACTTTTCAGGGATCATGGATAGTCAAGCAGAGTGTTGGGAAGAAAGCTTGTCTTATTGGTCAAGCGCTAGAAATTAATTATTTTCGTGGAAAGAACTACATAGAGGTATAATACATGAGTATTTTGGCACTAATCGATGCATAGCGTTGTTCTAATTTTAGTAACTGATGCTTACTGCAGTTAAATATTCAACAGTTTTAAGGATTTCTGAAAATTACCACTTTGGTAATGTTGAATAGTTTGTCTCTTGGTAGAAAACAGTATCTTATATCTTGTTAACTATCTTGAGAAGTATAAGTGTAACCTGAATCTAATATTGATATAAATCACTATGTGATCCTGAAGAGTTATGCTCTAATTTCAGCTTGGTATCGATATTGGCTCATCTACTGTGGCAAGGGGTGTTGTCAGCCTTGTTGTTGGTTACCTAAACAATCTAGTCATTGAGATGGCCTTTCTTGTCCAGGTAAAACTCCATATCCTTATTCTCCATCTAGATGGACAGTTTAACTCGCAATCTGCATTCTATGTATGAACTTTGTGATGATCATTTTGTCAATATGAATTTTACTAAAGCACAGTGACTATCTTTCTCCACAGGCCAACACACCCGAAGAACTCCCTGAATATCTTCTAGGTACCTGCCGTCTTAACCACCTGGACGTTTCTAAAGCCGTACAAGTGAAGCCTTGATCTTTGTATAATCTCAGTTTATTTTCTAAACATTCTAGTGTATTTTAGGTTAGTCCATATGCTTACAGGAATGTAGGGTTATTTGCACAGGAAACATGAAACATTAAACTGCAAAAACTTTTGTAAAGTGACTAGTGAATGTCCAATTCTTTGATTCAATCAAAAGCCAACACCAGTAGAGTGCTGCATTCAGTGTTTATCTTTACAGTCAACAAAACTATACCTTGAGTAACTGGAAAGTTGCTGGCGTACGTCCCGAAGGTCACAGGTTCGACCTCTTGCAGGAATACGCAGTAAAACTACATACAATAAACACTTGTGCTCTGGTCCTTCCTCGAACCCCGTGCATACCTGGAGCTTAGTGCACCGAGCTTCCTTTTTGATATAGTAAAAAAAAAGTGTGATGTTTGTAGTTATTGTGTGGAATCATGCTTTTCTTTTTCAAATGCAATGTTTTCTCTTTTGAAAGGAAACAAATGGGGGTGTTGGGGAAATGAGATGCATGCATGTGATCTCAAAGGAGAAAGGTTCAAGAGCAGTTAACTATTAAATTGGTAAAGGATGATGACTCTGACCCTAGGGAAACTGTTCATGTGGGGATGTTGGCCCTTTAATAGCCGAGGATTTGTCGGAAACAGTTTCTCTATCTCTATCGGAATTTAGTGCATCGATCATTTTCAGATCTCATCTGTGGGATTACGGGGTAAGAGTATCATGAAATTTCAATGCACATGTGAAACTTGTGCTATAGTTTTACTTGTGAAATTTCAAATTCTTGACTATTTTTAGATTACTATACTGTCCGACTAGTTTGTAGATATTTAAATTACTTTCAATTATTTGTTGCTTTTTAAAATTTCAAATATATCGTTAATCATATTAACATGAAAAAGAATTATAATTTATAGTATTTGTTAATGAATATGTAAAAGTTAAAGTTTTATAAATGAGAAAAGAAAAAGAAAAGAACAAATTAAAGTTTTTATACATCCAGCTTGTAAGTGAAGTAGTAGTATTACTTTTCGATTTTTTTTCAAATATTAGTAAGCTTTATTTAATGGAAAATAATAAATAATTCTAAAAGCACAAGCGGTGGACCAACCCATTATTCATTGAACTGAAAAAATAAAATAAAATAGGAGTAATTGATGAAAATGTAATTTAAAAAATACTACATTAATTATTTGAATACTAAACTTAAAAAAAAATGGTTAATTTCTGTATATAAATTTGAGAAGTTGATTGATTCCTCAATACCTTCTTTGTTTGAGTTTGTTGAGCGTTTTGTAGGTTATTATATAATGGAAAAATTTAACTCGTATGTACGATAAAGTACAAACAAAAATTATAAAGTATAATGTTACGAATAAATTGGGAAAGATGATGTGTATGCAATCGTTATATCTATTGTTAAGTTAAAGAAATTATTTCTGAAAGACATAGAAATGCAATTAAAATAAATAATTAGAGAAAACAATAACAATAAAAAAAATTATACTACCATATTAAAGACAAATAATAACATAAGCACGAATTTTATTTTCGAATAATCTCTATGATACGAAATTTAATTTTAATAGAAACTTCAATACGTGATTTAAAAGGAAAAAAGTGTCATTAATTGAATTTCTCTTTAAAGCCATATTGGAAATAAATGGGCTTTTACGTTATAGTATAAGAATTTTCTAATTGTAGTAAAATTACTTCTTTTTTTTTTGAAAAAAATAAAAATAAAACTTCAGTTACATAATAAATGTTTTCTTTTTAGACTTTAATTTTTTTCCTTTTTAAATAAAGAATAGCTTCACACTGATTATCGGCGAAACAGTGTTTCGAATTTTCCGGGCAAAAAAAATCTCTCGAGTGATTGGATTCCGGATACTTCTCCGATCGGAGAGGTTTGCCGGCGGTGGTGAAGTGGACCCCACCATTTGCCCGATAAGTGGAGGAAGTTTTGTCTTTGTCGATTCTCGACACAGTTTTTTGTGCAAATTTATGAGCACGAGATCTCGAAATTCTCATAACAGGTTAGCACCAATTTTCCTCAATTCGTTTTCTTTCATGCATTTTTTTGTGTGTGAGTGGATTCAGCTTGTTGGATTTTAAAAGTAATTAACATCCGAAATTTTTTTTTCAAGTTTTTGGGTTGGTGTTTTCATAGATGGGTGAGTGGGTGTTTAAGTTTTGATGATTTTTAAGTTAGAAATGCTAAATTGTGAATGTTCAAAGTTTTGGGTTGGTGAGAAATGCTAGTTTTAAGTTTTGGGTTGATGTTTTTATAGCTGGGTGGGTGCTAAATTTTGATGATTTTTCAAGGTTACAAATGCTACGTTTGACTTTGTGTTTTGGACTGATGTTTCCATAGCTGGGTGGGTGTTAAATTTTGATAATTTTATGGTTAACAAATACAAAATTTTGAATTTGTAAGTTCTGGATTGGTGTTTACATAGCTGAGTGGGTGTCAAATTTTGATGATATTATGGTTAGAAATGCTAAATCTTGGATTGTTGAGTTTTTTTTTTTTTGTGTATATATATATATATATTATGTATATGTCCTTTGAATTCAGCTAGCTGAATGTTAAAGAACTCGCCTACCCTCCTTTTATTGTTGATTTTGCACTTGGGTGGTGTTAAAATTTGGACTAGTGCTCACTTATCATGGTGAAAAGTGCTGAAGTTTGAATCTTTTACTTTGGTTCCTGAATATTATGAGTGTGTGTTATGCATATGCCCTTTGAATTCAGCTAGCTGAATGTTAAGGAAGAGCACGCCATGGAATTTGTACTTGGTGGGTGTTAAATTTAGAGTAATGTGTGTTTATCATGGTTAAAAGTGATGAAGTTTGAATCTTTTACTTTGATTTTTGAACAATTCTGAGTGTGTGTATAGTTTCAAAAAATAAAAATAAAAAAATTCTGAGTGTGTGTGTAATATATGTTGTGTATAACTGTATATGCCCTTTGAATTCAACTAGCTAGTGGATTTTTGTATTTGGGGTTAACATTTGGATTGATGTCCATTTGTCATGGTTAAAAGTGCTGAAGTTTGAACCTTTCACTTTATTGTGAATATTATGTGTGTGCACTTCATTGGAGGATTCTGATTGTAAAAGTTTTTCTTATCCGTTTCAGTTTGATTTCTGGGATAGATTGATGGTGGGAATGAGGCAAAAAGTTCATATTTTTGATGTTTTTGTGATCCTGGTGTTTCTGCTCTCAGGTATGTCTCTTAATTGATTGATTACTTTTTGCGCTTAACCTTATGATTTTGGTTTTATGTCATGAAGAAATGTATGTTTTTTTCACTATCTACTTGTTTAACATTATACCTATATGTTTATTTCTAGTAGTATAGCATGTACCTATTACGTCCTGAAGAAATGTTATTTTGACCTTGGAGTAGGGTAAAGTTAAGTTCTTAAGGCCTTTCTGTGATGCCAATTTTTTTTTCTTCTGATAAAAAAGTTGTATATTTCATGATGTAGATGTTTTAAATGTTGTCGCTATGAGGATATTAAAAAAAAATCTTTGCTTGTGTTTTTTGTTTGTGAAGTTTTGCTAGTGAAGCATTATGCATGCAATTCATATTAAGTTCATACAAATTTGCTCATAAGCTTGTCTTGGATCTCATTTTAGGGGAATGCCAATTTAAATTTATCTGCAAATTGATAATGCTATTTGATGTCCAGTTTCTACAATAACAAAGGCTACTGAGGGAAAAGATGGCTTCAAGTGGTGCGAACGCATTGTCAAGCAGTGGGCGTCTTCTTCACTCGATTTGGAAGTCAAAAATGACAAACATGTCTTGCAGAACTTGCTCTTTTTTCTTCATGTCCCCAGGACTGGAGGGCGAACATATTTTCATTGGTAAAAATGGTTTCCCTCTATAAATTCCTTTCCCTTTGACTGAGTTAAGGAAAAACCGTTTCTATGAATCAAATTGTAATATAATTTGTATATTAGCTAATGGTTATATTGTCGTGTTTGTGCAGTTTTCTGAAAAAGCTTTATGCCAGTTCTTTGGAGTGTCCACGTTCGTATGATAAGTTAAGGATTGATCCAAGGTAATATATTTCTTCATACTTAATGCATTAAATTGTTTTGGAAATTTGGAAATATTGGACATTACCATTTTCAAAGTTGTTAGATGTTCTTTTAAAAGCTATAAGTAGGCTCTTTCTGGAAACGAACGTTTAATAGTGATGGAGCATCACCAAAGCAAACTTATAGCTTATGCTGAAATGAGAAAATGCATTGGTATTCCAGTGGATCCTTTGATAACGAATATTGATGTTGCTATCTTAGAAAAAAAAAGTAAACTCCTCTGATGATAAGGTCGCTTCTATCCATTTGATTATTGTTGTACTCCTGTTTGTGTATTTTGGAAATAGAGTCGGTGGGTGGATTAGAAAAATCGAAGTGCTTAGCTTTACTGAGAGGAAATAAATGGTATGCCAAATTTTAATACAGATTTTATAAGGTCTTTTTGTTTAAAAAAATCCAAGCTAGAAGCTATTATATCAATCATTTTGTATTGTGCAGGAGCACTAAATCGCTCTGCTTTTACTTCACCTAGTTTTCCTATGGTAAAATATTGTAACAGAGAAACAATTCTGATTAGCACAATTTATTCCATCTATTTCTCTGCTTCCTCTTATCCTTTTACCTTTATTATTTCAGGAATTTTATTAATTGTTGTTATCAATTCTACTACTGTTTGGTGGTGCAGAAAACCAAAATGCCGCTTGTTGGTTACTCATGACGACTACAGCATGATGAACAAACTTCACAAGGATGAAACTTCTGTGGTGACAATACTTAGGAATCCAATTGACCGTGTTTTTAGTGCCTACGAGTTTTCCGTGGAGGTAGCAGCCAGGTTCCTGGTGCACCCTAACTTGACATCTGCCACCAAAATGTCTGGACGGCTGCGTTCAAAAAATACAATAAGCACTCTAGATATCTGGCCGTGGAAGTATTTGGTCCCTTGGATGAGAGAAGATCTATTCGCTCGAGTATGTCTCTTGAAAAGCATTTGTCAATTCATCATCTTGTCCTGTGAGCTTTACTATCTATGTTTACCTCTATAGTAAAAACCTTATTCAACTAAATATAACAATTTGAAAAGCATAATTGTCTTATCTAGTTTCGCTTCCTCTTCCTCCAAATGTATTTAGATGCTGTCAATGGCAATGCGTATCAGATGGTGCCTTGCTAGCCCACATTGTCGAGGAGGTTCCTTTACTGATCATTTCGTTGCTTCTTTACCATCGGAAGAATAAATTATCATTGTTTTGTTTTCAAGCTTGTTCCACAGTGTAGTCTGTACTTTGTATCAGCCATTCATGAGGCAGTAATATTTGCGGATGTCCTGTTTCTCAGACATTTTATCATACTTCGCCTCGGCGGTTTATTTAGATGCTTCTTAGTTGCATTTATTTGTTGCTAAATGAAGTACCATATGCTTGTGCTAGTAATTGTAGATAATTCCTCTTCCTAGGGTACACCAACTGGTCCAAAACACATAACCTTGTCTATCTATTTGTGATTGATAATGGTGTCTAATCAGTAGAGGAATTGAGATGATTAGTGGAAGTATTCTTATCCAGTTATCCTGCTAGCACTGTCAAAGGTATCAACTTTAGAGAATTTGTATTAAAATAACCAAAAAGAGTGTTAGCTTTAGAGAATTTATAATAAAATCAATTAGCACAATAGGAACTATATCTCAACGAAATATCAGGATGCAGAACCTTTTTTTTATTTACAAAATACAAATAGAAATGATCACTAATCTTTTAGTGGGTTTGCCCATTTTTATGTGGAGGAGGGGAGGCAGGGGCAGCAAGGTGGAGGGAACTTTTGTCATGCATATTTCTGTAGCATTGTGAATTTATCTTGCATAATCATTAATATGTTGCATATCCTCTGAACTGTAGAGGGAAGCAAGAGAAAAAAATGGTCATTCTGTTGTTATAAGCACTAATCCATATGATACGAAGGAGATGGTGATGCCTCTACACGAGTATATCAACAATCCCATTGCTCGGGATATCATTCACAACGGAGCCACATTTCAGGTATTGCCTGGTTTTAAATTTACAATATGAAACCTTTCATCCTCCTTCTTCTGCATATATTTTTTAGAGTTGTACAAGAGCTTAAATTAGGGATCCAACACGGAACTTATGGGGAAGGTCGTGAACGCCGAACGACATGCTTATGTTGGTATTTTACTCTAAATTTCTGGTTGTTCTTCTGCTTAATTGGTTAATTGTTGTTAATTGGTTACTGGAACTGTGGTTGGATTCTTTTTCATTTCATTTTTTCAGAAGACATTGGCAAACTGAAATGAAATCGCAAATTGATTTCAACTTTGAATATCTTGACCAGTCTCAGATACTGCATTGTGGGCTAGATGCTGTATCATGAAACAGTCTCTTGCTGTAAAAATTTAATATTTTGGAGGAAGCCTCTGGCCTCCTCTTATCCATCCTCCAACTCAAATAGCATCGCCTACCATTAGACATCGACATTTTAAGCTTTTCAGCTACTCTGGCATATGTGTCAACTTTCTTCAAGGTCAACCCCACACTATCAGATTGAGTTAAAACTATCTACTATCAGATTGAGTTAAAACTATCTTTTTTTATGAGAATGACTTAACGACCTAACCAAACCGATTATTAGGCTTCTTATACTAAATTCATAGGTTCTTATATAAATTTTTAATTGTATGTCTGTATGAATAAATTTATACATGAAAAATATATTTCGCCTTGAGCTTGGGTATGGGAACGGAAACAAGCCAACAGGTAATTAACATCCAAAGTTCAACTCTGAAACCTGTTATGCTACTCATATTGAAGCTAAAATTAGTTTTAGCATCTCGAGTAGTAACTAGTAGGCTACAAGGTATTAGATATATTGCCTCTCATATGATTTAAATTTCTCTTACTGAATGCTTAATTTTTGTTGACTCAGTTCTTGAATCACATCTTGTTTGATTTCTTCTTGCTCATGTGCTCAAAATATTGTCTTTGCTTAACTTTATTTTCCATTACTGTAAATTTTGGGATAAATCTCTTATTCTTGTCGTCTTTCATGATTTCTTGATTCACCTCCTTCTAAACTCCAAAATATCTATAGAGTTTTTGTCAAAGTCAGATAGAAGTAGGCATGGTATCGTGTTCTAACTTCTACCGCATAACTTTTACATGACATTTTTTATAAGCAAATACCAAAAATTAACCGAACCGTACCGATGTCGAAGATAAACTGAGATGATGGGGTGGTTTCAAAAGGCCTAATCTTGGTTATGTAAAATAAAATAACTGAAACTGGTATGGTGTAAATTTTACGAAATAACTACCTAAACCATACCATTGACACCCCTAATAACAACCCCTCCCACCACACTGGGGGTCCCTTCTCCCTAACCAAAGGAAATACTCTTGAAGTTGTTTTATCTTGCTGATAGTGTCTAATTTATAGGTCGCAGGACTTACGAACAACTCTTATCTGACAGAGGCACATGACGTCCGTCACTGTGTACTGAAGTACCAGTCTCTTGGAGATTATGTGCTTAAGGTTGCAAAGGTAATTAACCCACTCTAAATTAAGTTTGAGACTGAGTAATATACTCTGCTATATCCACTTCTTGATGATGGTCAGAATTATGGTAGATATCTATAAATTTTTGCAGAAGAGGTTGGACAATATGTTGTATGTTGGACTCACAGAGAACCACAAAGAATCAGCCACCATGTTTGCAAATGTAGTCGGTACTCAGGCAATTTCACAGTTCACTGGATCAACCTCACATGAAGATCATACTGCTAAGAACAGCTCTGGTTAGTTTAGAAGCTATGTAATTTAACTGAATTGATGCCTTGGCTAGAAATATACCCCTTTCTCTTCTAACGGCAGCATATAAAAGCCGATGGATGAGTATCAATTTGAACAAGTCAAGCAGTGACTCTGCTATGCACTTTTTTTCTATATTTGTTTCTTCTTTAGGTGGCGGGGTACTGAAGCTTCCACCTTACGAGAGGCCGATCTTGGTGGTCCCACTTTTTAAAAAATAATTGTTCTTCATCGAAAATCCAGTATTAATCATAACTAGAAGTTGAGTTTTAGGAATGTTTCAAAAGCTGAGTTCATAGAAATGTTCCAATGATTGATTTTTCACGAATGATACATTTTCTGCTAGAATTTCGCGTTGTTCAAGTTGGAGTTTTGGACACATAGTTGTAGTTTTGACGGTTACATTATCTGGTTTTGCACAGAACAGGGCTCTTCACTGCTAGAATCTGATTTTGATACAACTTATCACCATGTAAGCTGTCTGTCTCTCTTGATATGTGATCATTACTTGCTCTTTTTGCTTTAAGCGCCTGTTCGGAAATCAATTAAGCTGTCATCTTAATCCTTCATTTTGCCCAAACTTCAGAGCAATAGCTCATACCAAAAGCCCAATCAAATCTCATCAGCTGAGCAAGGTGAAGCAACAAAGAAAAATGTAAGACCATTGCTATGAAGTCCAAGACGATGTGTTTCTGTTCTAACTGCAACATATGAGAACTTCCTGATTTTTAACTTTTCTACCACCACAACAGATGACTGCAGGAAAACTCATGGATGTATACGAGAGCTGCATTTCGAACTTAAGGAAGACCCAGTCTGAAAGGCGTGTAAATTCTCTAAAGAAAATTGATCCAGCAAATTTTACAAAGGAGGTAATGTAGCCAAACTGTGTTCTGTTTTTCGATCTCTTGCAATTTTCATTTTCCTGGACAAGCATTGGTGAACTTTAAGAATGAATTCAAGTATATTGTTTTTGGCCACTTATCATCTTAGTTTCAAATTTGATAGGGACGCCGTCAGGTGTCTGAAGCCCTTCTTCAGGAGATCACATCATTAAACCACCTCGACGTGGAGCTTTATAAATATGCCCAGACGATCTTTGCAAATCAACACAAACGCATGTTACTGTATAAGGCTGTCAAGGTAAGTGCCCACGATACCCAGTTAGTTTTTACTATAGTCCATGCCCTTGATTCTGAATGGAATAAATAAATAACTAAGGAGGACCTAGAAGTTCTGCTTATAATTAATATCATGTGCTTGTTATATTAGTAATCTGTTTTGCATGTTACTCAGATTTCATTGCATTAGCTTGTTTTTTTTTTTTTGATAATGTGCATTGGCTTGTTATAATACAAGTATAATTCACGAAGGGCAGTTGCAACAGAAAAATTATCTCCTTGTGACCAATAAGTGGTGGGTGAGCAGTGGAATCAGCCAGGGTTGCTTGTGTCTGCGTAGGCTGCTTACATCACACCCCCTCAGAGTATGGCCCTTCCCCAGGCCCAGAGTGAATGCAGCACCGTGCATCCCTTCTTTTTTTGACAATTATTATTCACGCTGCAAATATCCTGATGAGATAGAGATGGTCCAAGGACTTCATTAATGTGTCTCATTATCAGTTGCTGTGGTGTTTCACAGAATAATTAATCATTCCTCCAATTGGCAATAATCATTTCGACTTAATCATGAATCTTGATAGAGAAATTTTTTGTGAACGCTTATCCATCAATGAAGGTCCTCTGTGCTCTCATGTATTTCAAACATATGCATTCATACACGTTCACTACATAGCCCTAGTGCTTGTTAACATCTCATCCTAAGTAATAATACCTAAGACATAGTTTTCAATGAGAACATTCTATTTGACAACTGGTTTTTGTTACTTTTGCAGAACCAGTTGGACAGTGACTTTGACGATTCATATCGTGCGTTTTCTTGGGAAGCCATTTGTATTGCTGTTTCTGTGGTGTTTGTGGCTCTATTTGCTGTCCTGTTTGTAACTGCAAAAAGAAGAACATCAAAACTTAAGTTATGATATCTCACCAACATAAATGACCCATAAAAAGATAGAGAAATTGAATAGAAAGATTGAAAATGAAAAAAATTAACTCAGGTAGCATGTAAGATTGCTCAAGCCTCATTAGTGGAGGTAAACTACACTCACATGCAATTTTGTGGGTAAAAGCAAAAGCTTAATGTAAAATTTTATGTTTTTTTTTTTTATATCAGTTTCAGTTCTCTTCTTTTGTTCAGCTGGTTCTTAGTAGTATATATATCCTTTTTTTAATAGCGAGTCGAGTCGATGGTATATCAAAAACCGTCTCTCTACCTTCAAAAGTATAGGTTAAGGTTACTCTTTCTATACCCCATTTGTAAAATTATATTGGATATGCGGTTTGTTCCAAGCAAAGGCTCAATGAAGAGTCCCAAAGAGAAGCAAATAATATTTTATATTTTGCAGATATGTTTAATTGAAAATCAAACTACTATACTTGCTAGCAGTGCCAACGCTTGAGGGTTTATCGGAGACAATCTCCTTCCTGTCCAAAGTAGGGTAAGGTTTACATACTTTTTGTCCTTTTACGGGGTATAGAAATAGTTTAATACAAAACGAATTGAAAAAATCGAAAGGTAGGATAAGATTTACGTATACTTTATTTTTTTTACAAAGAATAGAATAGTGAAAAAAAATAAAATAAAAGAGGCCAGCTTATAGTAATAGTACAATTTAAGCACCTAGGTTCAGTAGTCAATTAAGAATGTTAAAAATCACAAGGTTAAGATATTTTGTATAATTAATCGAGCAGCTTAACTTGATTTTAAAAATCTTTTCTTTTTCTCTTTATATATTTTTTTTTGAAATAAAATATTAAGTATGTTAAAAATCAAAAGGTTAAAAGTACAAGAAAATTTATATAATATGTCTTGGAATAAAAGAAAAGGGAATTATCTCATCCCTTAGTTTCTACTTCTCCTTTTTAATAAAGTTGACTAAACCAATCATTATTCTAAATTTTGGTAAAACCTAGGGCAAGATATTTGGTATAAAAATATATTTTAAATTTTCAAAATATTTTTTTTATCAAAATCTTCTTTTGTTTGGCCAAGATAATAAAATTTACAATTTATTTTTAATCAATATCTTTAATTTCTATCAATTGTAACAATATCAGCCACAAATAACATGTTTTTTTTGACTTCATTATATATAAAATGATTTGTGATGACTTTTTTTAATACATATTTTTTGTTACATTTATATTTGTTATGAATTACTAATATTTTCAGCAATCTTTCGCGATATTATACAATATTTTTTTTAGAGATGGACAAACATAATGTGTAATGCAAACAAATTCAATTAAAATTATTTTTCAAAATTTATTCAAATAATGGTTCAAAAATACAAAAAATAATAAATAATAAAGATCATTTCAACAAAGAAAACTGTCCAATCAGCACATAGTAACATTAAACCATGTGCATTATTGATAAAATTATTATATTCAAAATTTTTTTTATATAAGATCAAAAAAAATAAAATCATTTTTAAGAAATGGAATATTTACTGTTCTACCCTTTGATAAGAGGGACCATCACCAATTTTTGACCCTACTCAACAGCTCATCAATTATCATATACTAACATTTACACCAATCTTAGGTCCCATACCATCAAAATAATTGAAAAACTTATTTGTCTTTCGATAATAATAATAATATATTTAATGTAATTTTATATAATAAAATAATAATAAATAGATCGTCAATTCAAATAAATCATATAAAAAAAATGAGTATAAATAATTAAAGCGATTATCCTTAATTTTAATGTGGTCAAATAAATATTTAAGATAAATTTTAAAAATCTAATATAAAATCTACGGTCAACGATTAATTATATTTTTCTAATATTTTAATTGACTCACCGTCTAACCAAACATAAAAAAACTCTTCCGTATCTCTACCAAACACACCCTAAGCAACTCTTTTTTTGGTTGCACAAAAACCTAAATTCTCAAAAATTGAAATTCCAAAACTCCAAATAAACACCATTCAAATTTCAAAAAAAATATATATATATTTTTTTTATTTTCCCCCATTTTTTAATAAAATAAAATAAAAAAATCTATTTGTTTGTTTTCCTCTATCTATATCCTCACTTTCTTACCCTATCTTTATTATTCCTCTCTTCTCTACAAAAACCACTTCTTTTTACTTCAATGGCATTTTCAAGGGTTTAAGGGCTTTTTTTTTTGTTGCAAATGTAAGTATATACCTTTCTTCTCTACATGCAAAAAAAATTACAATTTTAGTACTTCTTCCTCATATCCATTTCACCAGTTTTCTTAAAAATTTGTACTTTTTTCTTATACCCATTTCACCATTTTAGCAAAAAATTCATCTTTTTTGAGTAACTCCACCCCCACCCCCACCCTCACCCCCAAACCCATGTTATTTCAGCTTTTTAGAGCAAATGGGTACAAAAAAATTGAGTTTTTAAGCTAATTTTTTGGGTGAAAATGGCTAATTGGGGCTATTGGGTCACTGAAAATGTATACTTCTTGAATTTTTTTTGTTTATTTGGGATTAATTTTGTCAAATTTTTGTTTAGCCGACATGTTTTCTAGGGCAAAAAGTTTTTTTTTTCTGGAATGATGAGGATTGATGATACTGTTTAGGAAAGTGACTGATAAAACGCTGTCGTTTTTTTTAATTAGGAGCAAAATTATTTATTTTTTTTCTGCTAATTTTGTTAAGAATTATTACTATTTTGATAAAAAGATTTCTTTTTAAGTAGCAATCCCCTTGATTTAATGTATTAGGATTTTCCATATATTTGCAATTATTCTGATATATATTTTAAATTAATTATTGTAATGTGGTGTTTTTTTTTAATTGTTCAATTAGTAAGTTATTTAGCATAATTATAGATTTAGTTCATATTTGAATTTTTATTAGAATATTTTTTATTTGGTATTATGTTTAGTACATTTAACCTAATATCTCTATTAAATTTCTTTCTTAATTATTAAGTTTTTGCTTAAGTAAAAAAAAAACGTGTAATTTGAATAGGTAATGTAAATCCCAACATTATAGATAAGCGTTACTCTTATTGTTTTTTAAATATTAGTAAAAACTTTGCTTAAATTAGTGACAGATAATTTTGGAAAAGAATATAATCTATATGGTGTGTTACATGTATAATTTTTTTTTTAATGGTTTTTAGTGGTTAATGTCTTGTTACAACTTTTTGGTGTTATAAAGTTGCAATCTTTTTTGTTTGTATATCAGAAGAAGATGACTATGGTTGAACATGGTGGTGGTTATATGGATGAAATTCCTACTGGTCCTATTGTTGATGATGACTTTGATGACATACTCAATTTCTTGGATATGCCAATGGAAAGTTTGGAAGGAGACGTGCTAGGTGGTGTTGAGTGGGATGTTAGTGAGTCCAAAGGTTTTGGACCAATCCCGACCGAAGCTCTAATGGATTTTCTGCCCTTGCCTCAAAGCAACATTGGCAATCGTCGGGTGAATGCAGTGGCAAATTCACATCCTCCGGTTAGTGCTTTTAAGTTTTCTATGTTTGTGAATGTATGAATGTTGATGTTTGTGAATGTATAAATGTTCTGTGTAGCCATGTGTGTGTTTGGATGTCTTTTGTGTTTAAATAAATGTAGTTGGTTCAAACATATGGTTTCAGGATTTTAGTAGTGTTGTTGATAATAAGGATGAATCAAGTGTTGTCAAAGCGCGTATAAGCCTTAAAGTGAGACTCGAAACACTGGGGTCTGGGGTAATCTTTGTTTTTGATTTGGAAGTCTATAAACCAGGGTCAGTGTGAAAACTTGAAAATTGTGTTTTTTTCTGTTAATGGTCCCTGCCTCCTGAAAAGCAAATTTGGCTTTACTTGCACATGTCATGTATCTTCATGTTCCTGCCATGCCTCAATGATTTTCAATTATGAATTGATATATGAAAGAAATGGCATGGAGTGAATTTGGCTCTACTGGCATGTACCCTTTATCTTTATGTTCCTTTGTTGCCTTTACAGTTTTCAATAGTGAATTCATGTATAAAAGCAGTAGCATGGAGTGTATTCGGCTTTACTTGGACATACCATTTATCTTATTGTTCCTGCTAAGCCTCTACAGTTTTTAGTTATGCATTCACATATGAAAGCTGTGATATTCTTGTTTGTGAATCGATGGTTTGAGAAACATAAAACAGCCTATGTAGTCGTATTGTATGACCATGCTTGATTGCTAATTAAAAATGTAACTGTCTTAAGGTGATTGTGTTGGCGTTGCTTTTCTTTTCCTTTCTAATCTAGCCTTTTTCTTTTTTCTGCAAATGTAGTCCTTTGCACTCCCCAAACAGAAAAAAGAATTTTCTATTTGTTTCCTTGTTACACCTGGTCTTTATTTGTGTTTTTCTATTCCTCCAAGTTTCTCATTTCTAAGAGCTTTATGAGTCAAGGCCAGGACCTATTACGTGGAGGTCTGCCTGAAAGATAAATCAAATACCGTACCAGCTTGCATAATGTTACGGGACTGAAAGGGAAGGATGAAATATATATTTAATTTTTGCTTCAATTGGCGTCATTAAAGAAAAACGATACGGTGTACTTATCAAAAAAGTGTAATTGTTCCAATGTAGAATCTACAATAGAAGATTGGGGTGCAGTAGCTGTTCCTTTTTCATCTGTTCTGCCAATGAAAGTTCGTTGCTGGAAATAGCTTGCTCTAATCACAATCGTTCTTCATGTGCTATAGTATATGCTGGACGTGTAGTGCTATGATGTACTGTAGGGATTGGCCAGGTGTAAGAGTTCACCTTGTGAGTATTTTGCTTGTTTTTAAGTATGGAGTTTGTGTGATGGGGCTTATATAAGTTACAATGATTGGTTGCAACTAGTGACGTTAAGTCACAGTCTTTGCATTGGAGCTGACTTATTAAGAACTCAATAATCTATATTCCTTTTTAAAGTTCTTAAAGATTGATGAACCTTAAGGTTGATAGGTAGTTGAGTTTTGTCTCATTTTTCGTAGGCAGTATGCTTGGTGGGAGTCTGGAAGCATCTTGTCTGTTGTAATATTAGCTTTATATATGTAGTTTCTTGCTTTTATATCTGTTACCATTTGTTGTCCTTTATGTTCTAATTCCTGCATTATTTCGTTGTTGTTACTTGTTCCATTGGTGTTACTGTTTTTCTTTTCTGGAATCCCTGTATTGCTTTCTGCATTGACCTGTCCACTCCCATATTTCCTTTTTATAACTACTTTCATATGCTTTATTTGAACCGAGGGCTGTTTGGAAACAGCCTCTCTACCTCCAGGAGGTAGCGGTAAGATCTGCGTACTCTCTACCCTCGTTAGACCCCACTTGTGGAATTATGTTGTTGTTGATAAGTTTCTGGAAAGATTGGGATGGACTGAGTCAGTAAAGTTGAAGTGCTTGCTTCATCTCTCTTGAAATTGTATATTTCAATGATAGAGTAAATTGTATGTTTCACATAAGAGGACATGAACCTTTGTGAAGGCACTTGAGTCGCGGACCATAAAGATTAAGAAAAGAGGATTATTCTTAAGCACATCAGTCCTGCTTCTGTGAAGTAAAAAAAAATACTAATGGTTGTGTTGGTAAGTATGGCCAAACAATTCGCAGGAAAAAATCCACCTAATAAAAGAACTCATGAAAACCAAAGGGTTATGAATTTTTTCTTAACTCATTATTTCACCCGAGTACTATTTGTTGTTCCTTGTACCTCGATTATCGTATTATCTTCTTGTAGTTTCTTTTTGTTACTATCTGTTGTTTCTTGTACTTCCGTTACTTCTTTTACTGGAATGCTTTGAACGGTATTTTCTTGAGGCTGAAGGCCTATAGGAAACAGACTTTCTCTATCTTTGAGGTGGGGGTAAGTTCCAAGTACACTCTACCCTCCTCAGACCCCCGTTTGTGGGAGTACTCTGAGGTAGGGTTATGTTGTTGTAACTCTTAAAGAATGGTAGAGTGCAGAAACTGATTTTCGCTTATATCTCATGAATTCCTAATTAAGTGCTATTCTATCAGATCAAATTTACCGAGGTCCAAGGTACCGGTACATTCCAGACACAGAGTCCAGTTTCAGTTCTTGAAGGCAGCAATTCCTGCTCTGGTGGAAAGAGTGTACCCATCAAACATGACCCTGTCATTCCTGTACGTCCTCGCTCCAAGCGTGCGCGACCTTCAGCTGTTAATCCATGGGTTTTGATGGCTCCGATATCTTCTACTAGAGTTGCATCCAAGAAGATTTCTGATGCCAGAAAGACGAAAGAGAGGAGGAGGAGATTGTCGCTGCTATCTGGTGCCAAGGAGCCAATGAAAAACTACGTTCAACAGATCAGTGATGCAGCGCCACCGGTATCAGATGTTTCCAAGAAGAAGATAACCTCCACACAACAGTCCAGTTTTTTCAAAAAATGCACACATTGTGAAGTCACAAAGACACCTCAGTGGAGAGAAGGACCACTAGGGCCTAAGACACTATGCAACGCTTGTGGAGTTCGCTATCGTTCAGGGCGTCTCTTTCCAGAGTATCGACCAGCTGCTAGTCCTACATTTGTTCCATCTGTGCACTCGAACTCTCACAGGAAAGTCGTAGAGATGAGGAAAAAGACTCTGTATGGAGGAGCAGGTGAAGTTGAGGAACCTCCCAAGGTGATCATGGGAAGAAGTAGTGAAGCTTTGCCAGAACCAACCATTGCTGCTGACCCTGCGATGTCGCCCGCGCCAGAGTTTGTTCCTATGAGTAGTTATTTGTTTGATGTATACTGAAGAGATGATTATACTTTTAGTTAGGAGGTTAATCTAGTTTATTGCTAAATTTTCGACGGGGGGCACAGATGATGGTTATGGTGGTGTATGGTTGCTACTCCTGCTTTAAGAGGTTGTACAAATTGTTGAATCTTTAGGGTGTCTCTAGACTAGATATTTGATTGGAGGTTTAGAAGGAAAAAAGCTTTGAGTCAAATGTTTGATGAAAAAGCAAAGTTTCTCTGATGTAAAAACTGAACTAGATATAGTAAGATGGTTAGGTTTCATTTTAGCCCTTTGATTATTTCTCCTTCAATATATTTTTATGAGTCTTGATGTCAATGGAGTTGTAGCTTTTGGATTCATGAATTTGCAGCCCAATGCTTCCTCGTTATCTTTTTGGGTTTCTCCGTCCGTGTCTGATACTTACATTGGAACTTGACTTGACTGATGTTAGAATCGCGTCAGATAGAGCCCATTCAGGATTGATGTTAGAGTCGCGTCAGATAGAGCCTGTTTAGGGGTAGAACTACCTATCAAGGATTTCTCCGTTACTACGGTTCAAATGTTGGAAAGTTCAAGTTTTATTAAGTACTCGTACCTATCCATAACAAGTTGAGGTCGTTATATTGAATTTTTATTGTTTATGTCGTTCCATTTAAGCTTATTGTAGTTCGACATAGATGTAAAAAGATATGGAGAAAACTCCCTTTTATACTGGCAATACCAATTTAGATGAGATTATGTCTCTTAGTTATTATATTATTATATTTACTTTACTTCTAATATTCACCACAATTCAAAAAAAAATATGTAAACAATGACATTTCTTCAAATTTAAGCAATCAAACACATGATTTAACGAGTTTGAAGCCTAAAAGGCCACAATTTGAAGCAAAAATCGATGGTAGCCCATGTATATTGCAGCCTTATAGCGTCAGGAGGGTTTTCCAAAAAAAACTTTACGAGGGCCTCGTTAATAAATTTGGGAAGCATTACGTATAGATTCATCAAAATTTTAAGGCATTTTTTTGCATTTAGGCTAACTTTAGTACGACTTTTTTGACTTTTTAGGGCCTAGAAGATTTTTCTGGAAAGAACATTATGAAGGCCTTCATAATTAGTTGGGGACGCGTTACGTATATTTTCACTATTTTTAAGACATATTTTTGCGTTTAGGAGCAGACTTTTAGAAATTACATATCTTTCTTGATTCTTTCGTGTGCATTAATCCATGGATATTGCGCCTTTTGGCGCTTGAAAGATTTTTTTGAAATAAACTTTATGAAGACCTCTGTAGTGAATTGGAGGAGCATTACATAGAGTTTCATCATTTTTTAAGACGTATTTTTGCAGTTAGGGGCCAACTTTTACGAATTACACTTTTTTTTTTATTTTTCGTGTGTATGAAAAATTGGTGCCTTTTAGTGCCGAGAAGGTGTTATGAAATAACTTTAGGAGAACCTCCGGAATAAGTTGAGGGAGCATTACGTATAGTATAACCAAATTTTCAGGGCATATTTTTGCATTTATGGGCCAACATTTAGAAAATAGGCGACTTTCTTGGTTTTGTATACGTATTAGCTCATGGATATTGACGCATAATGGTGCCCAGAAGGCTTTTCTGAAGAAAAAAAAACTTTATGAGGACTTCCGTAATGAATTGAGAGAGCATTACGTTGTCTCACAATCTTTTAGAACATATGTTCTCATTTAGGGGCCAACTTTTAGAAATTATGCGATTTTCTTGATTTTCGTGTGTATTAGCCCATGAATGTTAGCGTCCTTTAGCGCTCGAAAGGTTTTCTAAAAAAATTTATGAGAACATTTGTAATGAGTTGGGGGAGTATTATATATAGTCTAGCCATTTTTTAAGGCATATTTCTGAACGTAGGAGCCAACTTTTAAGAATTACGAGACTTTTTTTTATTTTCTATGTGCATTAACCCATGGATATTGGATCTTATGACGCCTGAAATTTTTTTTGTAATAACTTGATAAGGACCTCCGTAATTACTTGTGGGAGCATTACGTAGTCTCACAAAAATTTTAAGGCCTATTTTTGCATTTAGGAGCAACTTTTAGAATTATTCGATTTTCTTGATTTTTGTATGTATTAACTCATAGATATTGGTGCCTGAAAGCTTTTTCTGAATAAACTTTATGAGGACCTCCGTAATGAGTTGGGGGACCACACATATAATTGCACAATTTTTAAGCATGTTTTTGCATTTAGAAACTAGCTTTTAAGAATTACACGACTTTCTTGTTTTTTATATATATTAGCTCATAGGTATTGGCGCTCGTAAAGTTTTTTTAAAAGACTTTATGAGGACCCTCGTAGTGAGTTGGGGGAGCATTATATATAGTCTTACAATTTTCAAGACATTTCCACGCTTAGGAGGTAACTTTTAGGAATTACGCGACTTTCTTTATTTTTCATCTATATTAGTCCATAAATATTGCAGCATTTTGGCGCCCGAAAGATTTTCCTAAAATACTTCATGAAAACCTCTGTAATGAGTTTTGGGGTGGGGTGGGGGGAGGGAATTAGGTATTGTCTAATCATTTTTAAGACATGTTTTCACATTTAGAAGCCAACTTTAGGAATTCAGGACTTTCTTAATTTTTAATGCGTATTAGCTCATGGATATTGGCTCATTTTGGCGCCCGAAAGGTTTTTCTTTAAAAACTCGTGAGGATAAGAAGAAAAAATGGTGACAATCAAATAGAAATTCCCCGCAAAAATTTATTACTTTTGGAGGTGTTCTCTTTAGGCCCATATCTTAGGGAAACTTACATAAATAT